AGACAAAGAATGCAATGAATATTGTGATTTTGTAAGCTCAAAACTAACCAGATTCAATCCTTCCAACTAGCCAAGAACAATTATTATTTTGCAAAACTTTTGGGGGCTAATAAGATCAAGTATTTCGCAGATTAAGTATCTTGTATTTCAATTTATCGGCACATGTAGCTAGGTATAGGGTTTGTAAAATATCTCCAATAATAATTATTGTACTTCGTTATGTAAACTATTCTTTAAGTAGGTACATCTTCAACGGATAGATTTTTCTCGATATATCTTTCGCTTCACATCGCTGACAATACTACCTTATCGGGACATATAGGTACCTACTATGTATATACCAGCTATAATGGCCATTGGAAATTATATTGTTATGCAATGTGATAAATTCGAAACTCTACTTTTGTGAGCCAGTACCTTTTGAAATTGTATATAAATTATACGTTTTCAATATTATTTTCCTCTATAGAGAAGCGCCCGTTCCAACAGATTAAATCCCACGGTTATCCTTGATTGTCCCACAATGGGGGGTAATTTGGATTTGTGCCCACACACGCTCACATCTAGTATACACATATTTATGAGTAGTTAGGGCCCGCACACATGTAAAACTGTATATAAATGAAATTCAATTGAACCGAAACACGTTTGCATGAATATTAAACCTACTATATAGTCCAGATAGGTATTATAAGGGGATGGATATTCTCAATTGCACCGTACAAACCGTAATAAATCGACAATATTATTACGGGACCGTATTTATTTTTCTTTGGGAGACCCATTCTTCAATTTCTAGTGACTTGAAAAATTTCTAATTTTGCAGTTATATTATTGTGTTTACAGTATAGTAGGTAAATAACTGTTATACAAAAATTACCAGAAAGTAAATTCCTTTGTAACAAATACTCCACGATATGAACCATTGAACCCTGATAAGAAAACTATAGTAGTATTATTATAAATATATAATGTAATTCACAGCACGCCTCTTTCGAAAGTTGTACGAAAATTCAATGTGTCTTCCCGATAAGATGTTATTTTATTTTGAAAACCAATAAGGTCTCTGTGTTAAATTATAGGAAATATAATATTCAATTGGGCGGACTGAAGAGCATACCTGTAGTGTAATAATAATAGAATATTATAATATATTAAATATGTTTAATATAGATTCAAATAAAACTATGTTCTTTGGATAATCGTGGGTACACTCTTGAAGTGTTTTTCGTGTCTCCAACACAAATTATATTTCGTCAACGTTATAAAAACAAAATCTTTTCAATAGTTCAACCATTGTTATAACTACAGACTACTGCAGTTAGTAGGCGGCATTGGTGTAGGCGATGAATTGTATAGTTTGTCATAATAATATTATGATATGATGAAATAAAATACAAATATAATATAATATGCACATTAAATATCACGCATCGTATGAAACAGGGCTGACTTTTAGGGCTGAAATAGTGAAGATTTGGTCACCAATCGTCGTCATAACTATGATAATAGGGCGTACCTCCTTGTATTAATCTCAAATTGGAAATTACAAGTTAAAACTCTTACCTTAATTAAGACTGGCTTACTTTTACCTTATTAAACGTTTACCATAGCTAACGAAGTAAAATATTTGTTTGCATAATTGCATATAATATACCTTTGTGTTTAGTATACTTAATATATTTGAATTATTGAAGAAATCTATAGAATTGGCATGGGTCGCGAAACATTATCTTTCTCTATTTGACAGTCAGAAATTTGTAGAATAGTACTAATATATTAGGCTTCTCGCGGGCTATTTTAATGTTTAAAAATTGTAGGTGCCGATATCTATCCACGATAAATGATATGATTTGACGTCGTTGTGTCTTTTTGAAGTCTTCTAAACTAAAATAATATTATTCCTACACGTTGTATCTATATGTGTGAATGCAAGTCGCGTTGTGCTTGGCGTCAATATACAATAACAGTCGTAATGTATCTACTTATACCTTTATAGTATATAGGTATCAACATACTATTTTATTATCAGTCTTAGTTTTTTTTATATTAATTATATGCGTACACTATTGTTTCCGACACTAGCACGTTTTCGTTAATGAAGCCGGTTTTTTTATCAACGTAAAAATCGCAGACATGAAGGTACCAGCTCCGACGCTGCGACGTGCATAGCGGATCAGAATTAATTAAATACCACTTTCCTTGCAATACATGACTTAGGTATAATATATCTATTACATTTTAATCATTGGCTATGGATTTTATTCTTTTCAAACGGTTTTATTTCAATACTAATAATATTATTATATATTATTATATTTATTAACGTAAAACTTTCAGAACGCGTTTTTTGATTATACACGCTATAATATATTATGTTTTCTTATCTTTCTTCTAATTTGAGAGAGGTACTGCAGTACTTAAGTTTCATCCGTCAGTGATTATTTAGATATTATGATATAATATGTAAGTTGAAACCAGTTTTTAAAATATAAATATTGTAATATGTAGGTACTATGAATATGGCCTCGAGCTCAAAAATGTTTAGAATTTAAAAAACACCGGTTATTCAAATATTCTCACTCGTTTTCCTTATACTATCAGTAAATTTATATTCTGCGGAAGACCCCACATGGTATAAATAATATAATTTATTAAACTTTAAGTAAAGTTAAGGAACGTTGGTTTTTACATCATGTCTAGAACATTCGTTGCCGTGGTTGATGTGGTATAACCTATAACAATTATATATGCATATAATCTTGAACTAAGTTAGGATTGGAGAATATTGTGTAAAAAATACTTTCATGCCATCGTTTTGACAATATGCGGCATGCGCAGTATGAATTATAAGATATAATAAAACAACAGATATAAAATTGAACTAAAAACATTGTTTTCTCTATAATTGTCTATAGTATATTCATTATTATTTCTGTTTTCAGAATCGTTTCATATTATAATAACATCTGTTAAATGATATGTTTGCTTAAATTCGTATAAGCCCCTCCATAACAAAGTTTGTTTGAAGTTAACTTTTAATAATTATTGTACACAATACCATGTCCTGTGTACTATTACAGCAAATTAATATACTAATATACTATTACTATATCTACTTAGAGTTATGTACATAAATTCGAGGAAAATTTCATGAATAATGAGTCCGCCCTTGAATTTTTTTTAAATATAGAACTAGTTGTCTAGTTAATATATTCGTGAATGATCCTTTTAGTGTCGTTCTACTTAACTATTCATTAAGCGTTACATTTTTATAGACCGCTTGCATGTGACAGAACTTGACCATACACATATCCTATAATAGATTTCCCTATAGGAATTCACAGGAAAAAATTGTATAGGTGTACACACAGTAGTGACTTCAATTGTCTTGTTCGCACATCGCACCTCTTTCGCAAAAAGTAAAACTGATGAACTATCGCGACAACTGTTATTGTTTTTCAACTAGTTGACCGAGTTTCCTATTGCAGTAACGCGTATCTATAGGTACCTACCTATAATAGCTACCTGCCTACACAACTGACTTGCTTCCGGCTTTTCCCCTTGAGAATCCTACGTATGAAAACAGAAAACCTACTTTCATCAATTAGCACAGATATAAAAACAATAAAAATACTGTCTTATTCTTGTATTTATAAAATGTTTGAACTCTGCAGATTTATATCATTGCTTTTTCTGAGGTCTTTCTTAAGTTTGTATAATATTTCGTATACTATTATGATCGGCCATGCATAACGAGTAGGTAGGTACTGCATTCCTCTGAGTAATATATACAACAATACCAATACATATTACATATATATGATATACATGATATACCTAGGTATGTTTACATTCATCGCGTCTGTCGTAAAAAAACAAGTGATTGATTATATGTTTTTGTTCTCGACGTGTTTTATTCTTGATTAAAGATATAGTTTTATTAACACCGATAGAAAACTAAAATTAATTTATAAAATATAGTGAGTTCTAAAGTGTGTTCGTTATATTTATCTGACGCAGATTAATGTTGATATTGCTATATATAACTATGTACTAATGTAGGTAATAGGTAACTAGAAATAATTTAATTACAATATAATATACGAACAAATTAACTCAATTTTAAATTTTACCTAGGTTTTTTTTTACTTCCCATAACGACAGTGATGAAAATGACAGTAGTTCTAATTGTATTGGTTTCATGTTTCCGTGGTAAATATACTATTGACAATGTCTAAATAACAATATGTAGGTATAAGCTGTAAATTCATAGTAATTAGTGCGTGTGATATATATATTTACATTTTATACCTTAGGATGATATATACAACAGCAGTACATAGCGATGTTCTTTAATCAACTCTTGATTGTAGGTTAATTATTCCGCAGTGGTTTTCTACGCAAATCGGCTAGATTAATACTTTTTTTAGGCTATATAGGTACCTATATAAATATAGTATCGAATTATAAACCTGGAAAACTAGTTAAAATACAATTTTTTTTAGTATTCGCCTTGAACTCATATAAACCTGCAAATTACCTTAGTGTAAAAGGTTTCATAAAATCAAATATAAATGTATAAGTGGATATTTCATATCACTTAAATTATTGTAAAAAAAACTTATTATTACACGTCCTTTCTTTTTATTGCATGTATCCTTCAGACTTTTAGATATAAATGAATGCATATTAATTATTTATTTTATATACCTAGTCTATATTATATGTGAATAGTACCTACCTACAAAATCTACTGATAAAAAAGACAAAACCCCTTGAATAAGTAATTATCAAATAACTTTAAGATAACTATACTTACTATATATTGTTATGGATACCAAATTACCAACAGTATAAACGTCCATACACATTAAATTGTTTTTTTAATTTCTATTAATATATCCTAATAATGTATATATATATATATATATATATATATTCCACTATATATTAAAATATTTAACTCAATATAATTAATTTTTATATTTTTGTTTCAGCCATTGTAATGCATTTTGTCTTTCTGGCGGCGTTTTTCTGGCTCAACACGATGTGTTTCAATATATGGTGGACGTTTAGGTGAGTCAAAACGAATATATTTCAAACCATATTATTATTATTATTGTGTGTGTATATATTTCTATGTTAAACGAGATAAGAAGTCGTTTCACGGTGTAATCACTTTAATAGGACGGTAAAAAAACAATTCAAAAGTTTAAATCGAAATGGAAGATGATGAGTGTTGTTTTACCGACAAGAACGAGTACCACTAATTTCACCATCATTTCTGGGCGTGATAATTTATGTCATATATAATATTATACACGTATACAATAGTATCCCGAGGATATATGTGTGGACCTCGTGTTTTTCATTACCCGTCGTCTACCTGTAGAAAAAAAAGGATAAATAAAACGCACCTCGGTATACATATATACATTATAGTTGAATAGGCTTACATATCCCGAGACAATAAACAGTAATATCGAGTTACGAAAGTGTATTTCCACTGTATAGTATGTTATTCCCACGATCCACGCGTATACATTATATAGTTGTATATATACCTACCACTATTCAATTTCCTCTCCCTGCAGCATTTCGAGATGTACCCTCAAACCATTGATTTTTATATTATTATGCATCCCCATACCGCACCATTATCATCTAAAGTGGTGATAATTGTTACATTTGAGGGTAAATTATCTTATCGGTGGTATAGAAATTATTAATATGTAATTGCAGTGCCAATCTTGAAACCGTCTGTTGCATTCTCCGGAGGCTTACCGTCCCACGTTTATAAAATTCGTCATGACGTGTACCTGTAAGTTATAACCGAAAGGCTATAGCTCAAAAATATTAAAAATTAAATTTAAAAAAAAAAACGAGGCCAAACCAGTGTTTAGTTAATGATGGTTAATTAAAAAAAATAATTTGTTTTGATTAAACCGCTTACGGTACATAAATTACAACAATCCAGCGTAATAACAACAATATTATCGATTTTTTTAACATTAAAATTGCACACGTTTTATTATTGGATATACCTACTTGAATAATTTGATCATTTAATTGAATAGTTGCAATCTATGTACCTATATTTTGTAATATTCATCTATCAAATATTAACACTGATTAGTAAAACTAATATTATACAATCGCTGATCGCTGTCATTTCGAAAACTAGTCCGATTACCGGCTTTATTTTAATCAGACAAGTGTTATTAACTAATTATTATAATTATGATATATTTTCAATTAACTACCTTATGCAATATCTGAGCGAATGAATTAATTTTAAAGTGAATTTATTATTGATAAATGTAAAACCAGTTTAAACATAAAATTATTTAACTAGTTTTATTATTAGTTGGTTGTAAAAATATTGTATTTAATTAAATTTTATGACTTTACACTTTTAAATATGAGTCTAACTTTCATTTAAACTATTAAATTTAAATCCTTACGTAATACAATTAATTACACCAAAGTTTTTTTTTTTTTAAATTAATAGGTAGGTATAGGTATTTTATTTACGAAATTTAATTTATTCTATAACACGTAAATCAGTATATAAGTTACCTAATAATAAACTATAATATGGATATGTCTTAAACTCAACATCTTTTACATACCTATTATACCTATAATACTATAATAAACTGAAAAATAAATAAATATTTCAGTCAATCAATTTTAAAAATCACAATATGTCTTCATAGTGCATTTACAACCTATTGAGAAATCGTTATATATAATATATAGTTTATTGCACGTGCCCTAATAATTGGATTTATATTTTTCTTTTTATTCTTTATTTATTTTAATAAGTATATATACCTAAGAATATACTCTCTAGATTTCTATGTCAATTTTAATTAGTTTTTATTTTACAAATTGTCGCAAACGTCCTCTTAAACAGAAATGTACGAACGTAGAGGATTAAATTAAATTTAGTTTCAAATATTTATGCTACAGTATGCTACTACAAGTTTTTTGCTGTCCATATTTTTTATACACGATACACCTATATTGAAGTTACAAAACACATACATATACGCAAATGTGGTGTAGGTATATATTTTAACGGAAATACATCTGAAGCGTATAAAATATAAATGATTGTTGTATGAAATACGTCAAGCGCGTCGTTTTTTATGAAACGGCCGAAAGACAAACTATTATAAGTGTCTATCTTTTTCCTTGATGTGTAATTTTTAATGTGCTAATGGTATTTTCCAGGGACTTGAGGCCCGCCAACTTGGATAAAGGCCAAGAGGCGTGTAGGCTTAGACTGTATCAGTTGTACGCTTGGGGTGTGCCATTGGTGATCGCTACTCTAGCCGCTGTATTGGATCGTATTCCACCAGATCAATACATGTCACTGATCAGACCTAAATTTGGGGAACATCGTTGCTGGTTCTATGGTAAGTAACTGCACTTAAAATTCCAGGGGTATTTTTTAAAGTTTAAATATTAACACTTGTAACTTTTATTATAATATATACGTATACCTTCACGGCTATGCCAGATTATATTGAATCCAATCATTCCAAAGCCCGTTTCAATGAATTTATCGATAATGCATTTTTGTTTAAACCCTTATAAATATAATTTTAAATTTGTTGATAATATCAAAATTACCATTAAGGCACTAATATATATTTTATATTTTTATATACACAAATTTAATCAATATTATAATTTTTTTTGTTTAATCTAATTGTATACCAAAATCTTTTTGTACTTTATTGTTGTATTTTTGCACAAAGTAGATTAAAAATATTTGAAAAGAATTTAAAAACCAAGTTGAAATATTTAAAAAGAAGAATTTTCAGAATATTTAATATTATGTAACAGCAATAACGCATATTTGCTGTATAAGCGTATAGGTAAATTAACCAGGTTAACGCTTCTAATATTATTGAAGCCTTTTATATGCAATATACATACCTATACTAAAGTAGAGAAATACATTTAAGTATCAAACAAACAATAGTTTTTAAAAATAAGACATCATGAAATGTCAATAATTAAATTTGGTTCCGTTAATAACAACGGTTATCATCAATAATATTTTTTTTCGAGATGGTTTCTCAAGGTATTCAAGTACCTTCTATAGAATCATTTATTTGCATGATAATAATAGTCTGTTTATAGAAAAGTACAAAATAACCTTTCCGTCCATTTTTGGGCAAAGTAAATGTATGAAATATTATTAATTTCTTATATATATGTACTTTCAGGTGACGCAGAGGTTCTGTCATATTTCTATGGACCAATTGGTATTTTGTTGATGATGAATTTAACATTGTTCGCGGCCACGGCTAGGGAGTTGACGTGTGGCTTATGGAGAACTGAAGTAGTGAAATCTACAAGCGAAAGGTAACTACAAATGAATGTATACAAGTTAAAACATTAATTTTGTCTGATTGCCCTACATTTTCGATCCCGCATAATATATATAATTATCCTTGCTGATAATTGATATTGTAATGGCGTGGTTAAGGAATGTGAGTTATGGTGCTAATATATAATTGTTGAAATCTTAATGTGAAGACATTTTGTGGAAATTAACTCATTAAAACGGATCTATGTAGTATTTAAGAACTACGAACTGTATAACAATAATTATTGTCGCACAAACATTATATAGGTACACGTACTTTTGTCTAACGGAAACGTAAAAAATAAACAGTAATTCTTGTAGACCGTAAACACCAATTCAAAACTTATTTGTTTGTATCCGATCTGCAAAAGCAGAGGTCAAATAAATGAGAAGGCATGAAATAACTTGAGTGTTATTTCAAGGTCGGTGGTCGGTTGTAATATATAGTAAAATTTCGATAAAAGTGTATAAACTATCTACCTACTTATATTATTATGTTTGATACATAATATATAAAGTGGAATGCGATTTGATATAGGTAGGTAGTAATTTGATAAATGTATGTGACTTTGTTGCATAACAGTATTTACGACGAGCGTTTAAATTTATTGACAGCATTTTCACAAACTAAAATTTTAATTTTGTATCTTTATGCTGCAATGGCTGTGTAATGGACTAATGTGTAATGTGTGTCGAAAAATTCTTAGAATGATACACTGCACAAGGATTGAGGGATTGGTATAGGTACTATAATATATATATTTGCTGTTAGCCCATATTCGTTATTATTGTATGCGTGTGGAGCTAATGAAAAAATGCATTAAAAGACCCCCGTGGTGTCTGAAGAGTGCTGATGTATATTGATGTTCACCGATGATGACGTTTATACTCACTTTGATTGATTGAAATCCTATATCAATATGTACCTACCTATATTACATAAATGATTTACTTTGGAATTCGATAACTGTAAAAGGAAAAAAATAATCATTATGTGTGGTGGCATCACGATGGTTAAATTGTTTTAGGTTCTGGTGTGTAAACTAATATATAGAGAAATCGACCAAGTTTGCTCTGCACGATGAAAAGATATCGGATGACGAGATTGGTTTGACATGATTAAGCGACGTCACGGATGGCGGTGATTGCGACTACAGTGTATAGGGAAAATAAGAATAAAAATCGATTAAAAAATTTTTTAGGTAGACGGGGATAAAATACACAGTAACGTGTATATGAATGGAGAATTTTAAAGTGATGTCTATATTTGACGTTTTTGAATGTATCTTGTATATATTATAAGCAACGAGAAGAACAAAAAATAATTTTATTTTTTCCAATATTTATTTACTAGCGTTGTCGAGACGGACAATAATTAAATTGCAGACGAATAAAATGTTTATAATTAATTAAATAAAGTATGGCTGTGTAGTTGTGTATACGCTTGTAATATATTATAATCTATATAGTAAAAGCGGCACGAAGAGAAATCCTATAATATTATGTCGAGTTCAGCCAAGTGTTACAGTTCAGCGTAAAGGGCAGCTACAGCTACAACGATATAAGATCAAACTTTCGAAACTACTCGTGAGTTGGAGACTAGGCGTCATTATTAAAGATTTCTGAAAGTCGTTGAAAACATTCGAGTTTAACTTGAAGTTAGAATGTATAAAATGTACCATTTACGCATTTAACACAGAAAACGACCGAAGTGATGGTAATTGTGACAGTTAATATTAGAATAGTACGATTTAGGGTGTTCTAGCTCCCCGCAAATCCTGGAAATCCAGTTTTCCCCTCCCAGCCTATAGTTATATGCTATCGCATACGTGTCCGGACGTACCCAGCAGGGTTAATGGTCCCTTAGTATACACCTCCTTCCATTAACTCCACGAAAATCAAAGTATGAGTGTGCAGAATTTTTATTCTTAATTATACTGTCGGTAATCTCCACTCGGGACTTCCAATTAAATCCTATATATACCCCACTGAATACTGATGTAAACACATAGATACTTGGGGTGTATAATATTATGTATACTAACCAAACAATTTTAGTTCAAGAGAATATTTTAATAAAAACCTTTTTTTTGCATATTTTATTGTGATTTTTAAAGAATATTTTCAATTTTTTAAGAGAATATTAGCATCTTATTTTGGCTATTTTAAAAGAATATAATTCCGGCTCCTAGTGACAGTCGAACTCGGCCACAGACGAAACCCTTCTCCAGGTGTCCGCGGTATCACCGTCCGATGAGCAGAAAAACGGCTCGTCGGACGAGAACCGATCACGGCCAACGAGAAATGAGTTGGAGACGCTGGTGGGCACATCAATTGAACTTTGTTATAATATAGAACGGATAATTTTCCCTGGCAACGAACTCGGTTCAATATAAGTTTTGTACCAAACAAGTTTATTTTTCCAAACAGAATATAATATGATATTATATAGGTACATCATAAAATGTTGTGGCATCAAAATGGAAAATTTTAAATATAAAATTTATTCGTGGTCTAATTACTAACCATATTGATTCCCCTTGCTTGCTTTCCCAAGTCAACTTTAAAGTCCCTTCGCATGTATCTCGCTCTCATGTGACCTTCCATATTCCTACCGCCAACACAAATTATCTTCAAAATGAGCCTTTAAGGCAATTGATGTCACTTGCCAATGAGGACCCCTCTTTTGATGATAATCTGTTTTAATGTTTCTTAAACACTGTTAATATAACTCATATTAGTTTAATATAAGCGTTTTTATTGTTTACTTAATTACTGTTTAAATTGTATTCTCTGTTATTTACATATAATTTTTTATATTTCTCAATTTTCTATTAAATTTTAATGTTTTTTTAATGTTATAGGGGAAACCCGTATATCTTGCAATAAATAAATAAATAAATAAATAAAAAATTGCTCAATATCAATGTACAATATACACGTTTAAACTTTTAATAAATAATATGTACCTATATTTATTTGTCCTAGCAAATGGTTGGTAGGTACAAAGTATAAGCGAAATTTAGTGATTTTCAGAGACAATATAGTAAAGGAAATTTGATTGACGTCTGCGTTCAGCACCCGAACGCCGACCTTACAGAATTTATCTGAGTTATTTAAAACCTAAAGCCCGTCTTAAATATGTATAAATGTAGTAAACATTTTAAATTTCAATTGAGATACAATCCTATATCTACATGAACGTTTAACGAATACGATTCGTAGTATTTCATACGTCTGCGTGAACGTTCCTATTAACTATACGCTTTATTACGCTTTGCGTTCTCTTGTCTATAGCTCGATTAGATATTTCGCACATAGACATAATGGCATACAATTTATATATATATTTATAGTGTTCATGAACTATAAGGAATATTCATTCGCGCATTTTTTATCATACATCAAATCATTATTCGGACTGTAAACTTCCTTCCATGTGGAAGTCCGATGAACCCCTGCGATGAATACACGATTTATATGCCGCGAACTCGCGATTTCTTTGTGCTCAATTAGCAATAAAATATAAATACAATAATTCAAAACGCTCACATGGCAAAAAATGCATCTTGAAAACACTGCAGTTTTCGTGTTTTTTTTTTTTTTTATTACAGTCGCGCATACAATTAACAAATAACATAATTTATAAGTTTATAACGTATATAGGCACTTGAATCCGGATTTGCGTTTTATTCCATTACCATATTATTATTTTTACGTTGTTCTAAGTGTGTATTATGAACGCCCATCAGATGTGGTTCTGGTGTCATTTATGTAGTAGATATAATATTATTATGTTGTAACGCATATTATAATATGGATGTATATATTAATAAAGGTAGTTTACTCGGGAAAAGGAAATGATGTAGCCGTCGACGAATCTACATATTATCTAGCAGCCTATATGTATACGATGTACATTTTATATTAGGAGTGTACATATTAATTTATATTCAACTGCAGTGCACAGACTATTAAATTATTAAAATTGCATAAATTTGCACGCGTCAACTGGCATTTACAAACATCCCGTCTGAAAAACTTGATTCGAGTGTATGCCGAAAAGAGTCTAAGTATATTTGTCATCTCCGTGACCGCACACGATTATACATAATATAATTATATAGCGTATATATATATATATATTAATAGGTAAGTCTACAATACGTATAGTGCGTAGACGTACCTAATCGTCTTCTCCTCCTGTTAAATTCAAAAAAGTGCATATTTGGTACCAATATATAATTAATAGTACTTGAACGATATAGGTAAATAAAAATAAGTAAATAGGTACATATTATGATCTATATCAAGGATGGCAAATCCATGGCCCCAGAAAAAAATATTGAGGGCACACTAAAAATTAAAATACTCATCATTACCTAAATTATATTGTATTCTATTGCTGTAGGACACATTTCACCGCTCACCGCGGCGGTGAAGCCAAGACAATACAATTTAACGCCACCGCCACCGCTGCAGTGTGTGGGGACCTTTACATAACCTACCAAAATCAAAATAAAATAAATAATTATATATTGACTAATTAATGTATAATATACATTAATAATAATACATATTAATGTATATTATAATATTATAGTGGTATTATCACATTAATGCATAGTATTATTTATTACGTTTATATTAATATTAATTAATATGACATTAAGTATTTTTGTGAATATACCTACTTACTTACCTATATAATGTATTAATGTATACATAATTAAATAATTATATATATTATAATTTCCTACATTATATTATTATTGGAAGGCAAACAATAATTGACTGATAAAATGTTTATTTTCGTGTTACAGAGCCACACTGGGTCGCGTGTGCCTGAAACTGGTGATCGTCATGGGCATCACGTGGGTGGTAGACGTGCTGTCGTGGGTGATCGGCGGCCCGGATTACGTGTGGTACCTGACGGACCTGATGAACGCGCTGCAAGGGGTGCTCATATTCATAGTGGTCGGCTGTCAGCCACAGGTGTGGATGGCCGTCAGGCGCATGTGGTGCCTGCGCACGGACAACCCGTCGGACGGCGGCAACGCCCGTTCGTCCACGTCCAACGCGAATCCGTCCACTGTCAACGAGTCGACGCTGTCCAAACCGGTGGAGACGCTGTGTTGATGTCGACCGCCGCCGCACCGCACCTCACCGCACACGCTCGCACGCAAGCACACGCACGCACCACACTCACGTACACGCGAGCAAGCAAACAAGCACAGAAAAATAGTAATAATATCATCATCATCACCACCATCATCGTGGCACTGCGACTCACTTGCGTTGTCGCCACTGACCACTGCGCCCAGACTCCTGTCGTATAATACAATATTATATACGAGCATCGAAGTCTGTGTAGCCACTGACGGACTCGCCGACCACATGTCGGCGTACGACGTGATAATCGTTATGTCATAAAATTATCTTAAAATCTTGCCCGCAAACGGAATGTTTAGACTGACAAATCTTGTTTTATAATTATTAATTTTTTTTTTTTCTTTAACCAGTATTAATAAATAAGTATAATCGTATTTATAATGATGTATAATAATCGAAGAAGGAGGAAATTTTCACACACATTTTATTATTAATTATTAATTATTTTCTCATTATTATTTACTATTATTCGTTCACCGTGCTGTTTGTATATACTTTCCTCATCGACGAAGACCTGCAAAGGACCAAAAATATTTGTACAAACGCCTCAGAGCATTCTCTTCCGACCGAATTATCTTATATTGACTATATCATATAATAATAATATATTAATATATTCCTACCCTTAATATTCATAATATGGGTCTTTCTAATAATATATTATTATATGCTCTAAATTAACAGCAAAATTTAAATAGTTTATTCATAGTATATTGTGTTATATGTGTGTACGACGATTAAACTAGTCAACTATGGCCAAATCAATCACCGATGTAATATTACAAGTTAAACAATAGGTGTATTACACCATATATATTAATGAAATCTGTATTGGGAAATCGTATGACTTTTTGATTTTCGTTTAAATATCAATGATACAATTTTTTTTTGTCAATTTTTTTTTTTTTTGTTTTTCTATTATAACCTAACCTAACCATGGTAAAATTTCGATTGCGAATAATATATATAATTCATATAAAAACTTTGTAGCCTATAGGTACCTCGTACCTGTACCTATATTATATACTCTCGAATAAATAATTATTGAATCGTCTGCATTATTGTTTGAAATATATTATCGTCTGTATAGACGGTATAATATCTTATTGTATATTATGATATTCTACGTAAATTATATATTTGTTCATCCCTACATCACTAATATATTTTTCAATTTTATACGCTCATGAAATTTCTACAGTAACAACTACGTATGTGTTTTTTTTCTACTTTTTAACGACTTTTAATAATACTTATATTGTATATGGCAGCTATTTTTTTTTTTTTTTAGTTCATATTTTCCCATCGAAAACAATTAACTTGGATTTTATCTCTTGAATAAAACCGTATACAGGCAATAATTAATTATGCTTTTTGTTTTTGATAATTTCACGTTATCGGCATAAAACAACGAGTGCCGATTGTGAAAAAATGTATTTTATTTGTGTTTGTATTATTATTTTATGTTTGTTTTCCTTGTGGTTAACATCTTTTTATATTAAGTTCCTGTAAGCCTATCTAATTTATTAATATTTTTTAACAATGATCTATTATTTATATTATATTGTAATTTTTTTTTATATTAATATTATTTTTATTTTTTTTTTTACCCAATAAGCCTGATACCGCGTTATTTTTGTGAAGATCTTTATAGAACTATGCGCCAGTTGTAAGTTTGTTTTTAAAATTATTTTGTAGCATTTTTTTTTTTTTTGTAATTTATAAGAAGTTATATTGTGTAAGTCATCGGATTAAGACTGTGTAGATATTGATGTACCTACCTATTTAAAAGAAAAGAAAAATTGACGGAGTTGTTAAATATATTGTATTTGTAAATATAATAACATTTTGTGTTCTTTTTTTAATTTTCGACTCGACGTGTCATACTATTTTATGTCATCTGTATAAATTGTACTAATCGTCTGCATCAAAGTCGACCAACGATAAGGTTCTGATGTTTTCTGCCGACCGTGGGTGGCAGTAGTATAATATATCCTATCAGAGACATAAATATATTAAGTAATAAATATACAATAAAGCAATCCTGTATACGATATAATGTAAAACGTGAATTATAAAATGTATAATGACAATACGAGGTATTGAACTACAAGTCTACGACAGGCAATGCAGGCATGCAGCTATTATGGTCTACACGTGTTTTTGGTTCTGAAGACACCAAGTCCGTCCAGACCATCTGTACAAATATAATATATTGTGATATATTGACATAGGTATCCCATGCCCATCATTACATTATTATAATGTTCCAGCTATTTTATACGAACCTCAATTAAACTATAAATCATAATATTATCTTAAACGCATGCAGTGACGTGCCTATTATGTACAGAGACGTCTATACAATAGGGGATCGTGAGAGGACACTGCTTGAGCAGTTGGGCCGTGTTTTCTACGCACTTATGTACATTATGTTTTATACTCGTATCTCAATGTAATAAATTACACAATCGTAACGACGAATGAGATTAAAATGTTTATCTTTATTGATGTTAAACAATAAATGCCACCCTCTTCCCCGTGGAAAATCGTAATTATGCCACTGCTAAGCGTATACTTATACTATTACCATATAGTAATATAATAATATATAATCCTCGAAGGAATAATAATTTCTGGTTATCGAACCGGAAAGCAAACGTAGGTCTTACCCCCCTACCCAAAGCGCGCGAAAGATGCTGCGATCGATCATCGACGGAACTATTTAATTATATACATTATTTTGATCATTGTTCGTTTTGTATAATGTATATCATACGGTGGAAAATAATAATATATACCTTCGTAGAACAACGGTTTATATTTCATAGTTTCATACTAATGCAGCCATGTGTACGATAGTTCACGTTGCTTTTACACTATACTTATAATATAACTTATAAGTTATAACTTACAGCATTATATAATATATACATATTATGAATTTATGATGTACCTATCTACCTCAATGTCGGTGAGAGAGAGTTATTATCTCGAAACTTAAATGTGGGTATAGTCTAGGTAGACGTGTAAATATATAATAACTAATAGTATATTAGTATGTGTAGCCGCACAGGCGCAAATAGCGTTTGGAATTTGAGGGGGCTTAGCCCCTATAGAGTCCCTCCTCTGTTTGCGCCTACACGGTGTAGGTACCAAGTTTGCTAGTATTATAGGTAAAAAATAGGCATATTACCACCCTAGTAACAATTCAAGTGCCCACACAGTTCAATTTACACCTTGATTTACACTGAGATCGTGATGCTGCAGGAGTTCACTAATCACAATTTTAACTAGTATACTAGGTATATGCTGACAACATGTGTAGTTGGATAATTTAATGATATTCTGTATCTTTTGATAAATGTATTATTGTATGATTCTAGATTTTCACAAAAAATAATATACGTTAAGCCCCCTCTCGGTATTATTATGGTTATCAATTACAACTACTGTGTATACATTTTAATAAACTTAAATTGACAACGAATAACGAATGTAACGAACACGCTCTGCATTATATTAGTATTTAGTGTAGGCACGTGCAAACGATTTTTAGATTCTTCGGGTGAAGAAACGGTGAATGGTAATATGTTAGGTTTTTATAAACCTACTTGGAATATGATTTTTTTTGCTTCCAAGTATTGAGAGCGAACTTAGCGAACTTGGCGAATATCGTGAACATAGAGAACACAAATATAGGTGTATCTAATTTTTAGATATTATTTCGGTTGAAGAAACGGTAGAGATACGACATACGTATCGGTGCACATGTGACATGTCTAATATACCGGGGAAACTTATCGGTACGTATCTGTTCTATAATGATACTTAGGTACCTACCTCCGTATAATACATTAGTAAATTAAGTAGGCGTATATTGACAGCTGATAAGTAAAAAACGTTGAACGATCAATGTTTGGACGGAGCTCCGTTGCACAATCTACAAATAAAAATATCATGTTCACATCACTGAACCGTTGTACATTGGCTCTTTGAACTTACCTAGCAACACGACAAATAGGAAAATTATTAAAAGTTCAATACTTGAACTTAGCACTTTCCATTCGGTCGTGTGAACCAACTTATTGTTACTCGGGATATAGGTAGCCGTATAGGGTACCTATTCAAGTATTTTATTTATTTAAATCAATCACTATTCACAGTTCTAGTAGGTATAATAAAATATGAATTATAGTAAAATGTAGATGTTTGGTATAAGTAAATAAGGAAAAAAATTTAATTAATTAATTGATAAAATAAAAACAAGTAACAAAAAAGCGGGTAAGTGGATGTCGCTCTGCTGTACAGTAGGTTACAAGTGGGTCATTGTATAATGGATTGTATTAAACTTGAATTCAATGATATTCTATCATTGTATAAGAAAACGATTCTGAGCGGAGACTTTATTGTCATTAACTATTATATCATGTAAGTTGAATTAATATTATAATATTCTTATTTTTATTCGTTTCTATGGTAATATACAAAGAGTTAGAAATTAAAATCCAATTTTTAGCGGTTTTTCGTAATTTGTCGGTGGTTTTTACAGTGGCATTAAATAACTATTGATAAAATCGAAAAATTACCTCTCTAAAGTAACATCTTGATCCAATTAGCTAATAGATAAGGTACTATATGTTGAAATCGAAAAACTCCTTCTAGTAGAAATTTTGTATACAGGATATAAAAAAATAAATAAATAAACACCATTGTAAAACCACTAGCTTCCTCGCTCCGCTCAGAATCTAATATATAACAAGTTATATAATATATTATACTGATATTTACTATATTCATTAATAACTGGTCAATTCAAAGAATGATTATTTAAAGCTTACTTTTTACGGTAAAATGCATATAAAACGTATAAATGTATACAACATTTAAGGAATTTAATTCTAGCCTTCTAGGTGTATGAAAAAAAATTGTTAGGTGTCTGGGTGTAAGCAAATGTAAGAGAAACAATTAAAAAAAATTAACCAAATTTAATTCCAGAATGTTAATCTATATTATTAATAAGATTTATATAAGGTTAGTCGTTCATACCTAGGGCACATTTGTTTCTGTTTCCGCTTTTGAGCAATAAAACAGTTAGAAACTTGTTTAGTTGTTTCCTACAAATTTATCCTAGTTTTGAAGATGGCCAAAGTCACTAGAAGAATATTACGAAATTTAAACATGAAAAATAAATACAAAAGGATTTGAATAAATAAAACATTTTGGAAAAATTATAATTATCATACTTTATAATTTACATGAATAAAATGTTTGTGGCTTGTATAGGTATGTATACTATATTATGATAAAATAATATATAAAACATATTATAGTTTTAACTGATTCTATATCAATTTATAACGTACCTTCAGACTTTTTTATACATTGAAATGTTGTTATAATTTGTTTCAATTGTTATTTTTACCACAAACTGTTAATATTTTATTTTTTGATTTACCTATTTTACCTACTAGGAGAAAGTTAAATAACAAAGTACCTATGTAAATTTAAAAACATCTATAATTATCGATATCTAAAAAAAAAAATCATTACATTTATATGTATTTTATAAGTATATCATGATTGATTTATTGATAATTGATAATTTTTATAGTGAATACTGAATAGCCAATTATTTTATTGTTACATTTATCAAAATCAAAACAATATTATTGTATTGTAACATTTATTAAAATCTTAACAATTAATGTATTGTTACATTTATTAAAATCTAAATTATTATTGTATTGTTACATTTATTAAAATCAAAAAAATATTGTACTATACCATAAACGTAATATGATGCACAATGCACTCATGCATACCAACACTAATATAAATCTATTTTTTGATAGACTTAGTTAAATTAAATAATAAAAACACATTAATAAATTATGAATAACATATTATTTAATGACTCGTATTATAATACTAGAGAAAATGTGTGCATAGGAGGTTGGGTAAAAATGTATTTTCTCAATATTTATTTTCAAAAACAATAATTTAAAGGGTCTCACATAATTTTCAACACAAACAATTATTAGATTCTACCCGCAATGCTTTTCACATGTTTAATAACATTATGTACAACATCAGTACTTTTGGCGGTACCATTTAAATCAGCTGTATGTACCATGTCTTCGTTGAGAGTCTTAGATATAGCTGTTCTGATCATATCGCAATGCACTTTGTGACCCAAATGTTCTAACATATCAGCAGATGCGCTTAACATTGCTACTGGATTTGCAGTGTTGGTACCTGCAATAGATGAACCAGTGTTTCTGGTACCTGGTTCAAAAACTGCATAATGATCACCATAGTTTCTTCCCGAAATTAGGCCGGCACCACCAACAAGGCCGCATATTACATTTGACACAATTGAACCATACAAGTTGGGCATAACCATCACATCAAACTGATGGGGATTAGACACCAACTGCATGCAACAGTTATCAATAATCATGTGTTCAAACTTGATATCTGGGTAATTTAATGACATTTTTTTGCAAGTTTCCAAAAATAATCCATCTGATAATTTCATAATGTTGGCTTTGTGGACTGCTGTGACTTTACTGCGACCATTGTTTTTTGCTAATTCAAATGCGTAACGAGCCAATCTTGTAGAATTCTCTTTAGTGATAACTTTCATGGATTCGACTACACCTTCGACACTTTCATGTTCTAACATCGCATATTCACCTTCAGTATTTTGACGTATAACAATACAATTAACATTCTTGTGGCGACTTGGTATGTTATTGTATGACTGCACATTTATGACATTTACAAATAAATCGAGTTCGTTACGTATAGCCACATTACGTGATATTATAGCAGTATCGAGACTGCGTGTTTCTATGTTACCTTTAATGCATACACCGTTTCTACGAATAGACATAATGGCATATTGCAGATCATCATTATTATCACTTTGAGGATCAATTTGAATTGTCTCAAAATCAACTGGTACACCACCATGTAAAAAGACTTCTTTTACATAACTCATCAGCTCTGGCCCAATACCTCCACCAGGCAACATAGTGACTGCATTCCTACCTCCATATCTACAATTAAAAATAAATATTATTAGGTACTGAGAACAATAATTGAGTATTGAATTTCAATTCAACAGTGTTAAGTGCCCCCCATTCAACAATGTCATACAATAATAATGACGATTAATGATTAAATAAAAGTGTTCAGTTATCATACTACGACCATAAATACATTATGTCGTACACGACTTAGTCTGGAAATTACCTGGCTCTGGGCAACCCGACTTGTCTTCGGGCCTGGGGATGCTTATGTTGGATATCGAAATTGACCGACGACAGCTGGCGAATGGTATGCGAACCTGCTTTTTTAGGCAAGGTACATTTTGAAAAAATTCCCAACATATTGGATAACTTTACACGCTCGACTTATAAAAAAAGTGATAGCCTACAACTACCATAAACTTTCTTTGAATACTCAATAAAGAAAAGTAAAATGAAACTTTTAGAGGTTTAAAAAACGTTCGCACTTCGTACAAGAGTCCAGCTGTTTAGACCATAGATAATAAGAATTATTAAATTGTTTTTCTAATTTTTTTTAATGATAACAGTAGTCAACATTTGTGATAATCACGGCTAATACAATCACAGAATAGATAAAATATTGTGATTGTAAATTGTAAATTGCAATACTACTCACTAGTCACTACTTAAGCATTTCTAAACAAATTTGAATTTGGATTCCGGTTTAATTAATGTGATTTCTTATTTATTATGTGTATATTTAAATTTAATACCTATTATATATACTGATTACTTAATAATTATTTACTACTTGATATCTTAAAATTCACTTATCATAACTTTAACTTTAAAATTTAAATATGTTTGATTTTTGTTGAGTAGCTTTTGTGTTATTTATACAAACATTATTTTCTAATACAATTATCATGCTTATAAATGGCATTTATTTTATTTGCCTATACTTTTTGTCGATCTCCCAGAAACTTGGTTGGTTTATTTTTTCCCTGAACAAATGATTCATAATTACTTAAAGAAATATCACCTATTGTAGGATAACATTTTTTTTACAGAAACCTCAGAAATAGTCATTACAATTTTGAGTCAACAAAACGACTATAATGTAGAACAAGCACTCAAATTAAAAAATAATATTTTGAAGCAAACTAAATCAATTAAAGTTAGTATAATATAATATGCATAATTTATTGAGAATATTATTAATTATATACCTAATAGTTTGAATTATCTAATGAAATACCTATATATTTAATGTACCGAAATTTGATGAAATTGTATGGCTTGTGTTAACCATTTAGAAGCCACGGCTAGGTGGAGTATATATGCTTCATGAACAATTTCCAGATCCTGGAAGTTGGACTGTTATTCCAATTATAAAACAGTAAGAAGCATGTTAGTACTAAATTATTTACATTCATTTCATTTTATTTTTGTATCTTGTTTTAATATTTAGATTATATAAAAATAATAAACATGCAAAGTGGTTTTTGTTTTGTGAAGAAAACGCTTATGTGAATTATGACAATTTACAATTGTTTTTGAAAAACATGAACTCTAATGAAGTAAGTATGAATAACTGTGTTGTTATCGACTCAAAACCAATGTGGATTACTAATTCATTTTTGTCAGTTAAATTATGTTTATTAAATTAATTTACTTCATGTAAAATGTAAATGTACAATTGTAATATTACTTAAAGATGACAATCCAGATAGATTTTTCTAATCCAACTAATTGCCTTGATGTAAACATAATCATTGATCAATTTTAGTTACCTACATAATATTTAACAGCAAATTATACAATTTATTTATTTTTATGATATCCTATAGTCTGTATGGATGGGATATGGTGTAAAAGATAAACATCCTACAATAATTCATCATTACGCATTTAAAGAAAATGAAAATGAAAGGGTTACTTACCCTTTGTTTGCTGCAGGATTTGTTATATCTGCTGAGCTATTAAAAAAGTTTGTTTAAATTTACGTTGAATAATTTTTTGATGTAAAATTTACTTTTTATGACATTTTATAGTATTGCCAATTCAGGTGTTGAAACTTTGAGTTCAGATTTTTCAATTGATGCATCTTATGAGTTATCATTAGTAATCAATCAAAAAATTCAACATCTACCTTTGAAATTTTGTTTGAAACTTTCACCAGACTGTATTGTTCATCCTTTGTCTGAAAGGAGTGAATGTGTAAGTATATGTGTTTGGTATACTTTGTACGTTTTAGAATACCTGCTATAAAAATATTTATTTTTGTTTTAAGACACGTTATGGAAAAGTGACAAAAGATTCGATTTATTTTGCTGTGAAAACTTGCAGTAAATTTCATTCAGATAGAGTACCAGTGTTACAATCTACTTGGGGCCGAGATGCCGTGCATATTGAATACTTTAGCGATAAACTTGGTATTTAATAAGCTGTTGGTTATGAATTCTTTTTTAATTTTTAATTTTTTAGACGATACAATACCAACAACTGTATTAGATGTACCAAATACTGAAAGAGGACACTGTCTTAAGACTATCACAATTTTCAAATACTTATCTAAAAAACTTTTGTCGAATAAAGCTGTGAAATGGATTGCATTGACAGATGATGATACTCTTTTGAGGTGGTACAATAACACAATAGACTATACAACAATTTATCCAACATTCCTATTAAAACATTTAGTGTTCCTCGGTTAGCATCAATACTGAGCTGCTGGAATGGTCAGCAAATTGCACTTGGTCAAAGATACGGTTACAATATTCGAGGAGACCCGTCTTTAGGATACAATTATCTAACAGGTGGAGGAGGTATTATATTTAATGTGGCATTAGTCCATAAATTGACCACTTGTCAATGTTATGCGATTGATGCACCTGATGATATGGTGTTAGGCATGTGTTTGAAAGCTTTAAATGCTACAGTGGTCCATTCCCCAGTTTTCCATCAAGTTCAGTAAAAATGAACTATAGATAAACTATAATATTTGTTTCATACCTTTAACTTTTTTATAGGCTAGACCACAAGACTATGCCGACGAGTATTTGGAATCTTATCCAATGGTATCTTTCCATAAACATTGGATGATAGACCCAATAGAAGTTTATCGTCATTGGCTTTATCAAGACTCTTCTTTTGGACATGATGAGCTTTAAGCCTTGAGGTAATGCATTTATATACACAAATTATATAAAAACCATTTCTTTTTTTTTTAACAAAAATATAAATAAAAAAACCATGTAATTTAAAACAAAAATATAGATTAAAATCAATAATACTTATTTATAATAAAAAGAACCTTTGACAAAAAAAAAATAACTTGAATAAACCTAGTCAGTTTTACAAATTCGATAGTTAACACGTTGACTGCATACTGACGCAAATTTGCGTTATGAGGATCAATCAGCAATGCATTTGACGCTAAAAAAATAGTAGATAGTTTGTATTCCCGAAGCGTAGCTGAATGTTATTTTATAATTATTTAGTATAGATTAAATGCATTAAACACACCAAAATGTGTATACATGCATCTTTTAGACATACAACCTAATAGGAGCGATTTCTTTATGTTATTTTTAAAAGAATTTGTTTTTTACCTTTGTCATACGCACTGGGTGAAAACTGCAAAACTGTCAACGTGTTAAAATAACTGCATCTTACTATCCTTAAATTTATAATTTCGATCGTACTGCTATCTCTGTCCACCAAGTAGGTCTTTCAAATGTCGATTTATCTTCAAATAATAAATCTTTCAAGTTATCATAAACCTAAATAATACAATAATTTATTCATTTATGTATTTTTTAAAAAATCCAAAGAAATTAACAAAATAAATACAATGAAAATGCTGTATTAGGTACTATTACTGAAAAGATCAAGGAAAATAGCCACTTCATTATTATATATGTTATATTTTAAATTTATGGATAGTTAAATAAAGTTAAAAGAAGCTTTGCAGGTTATAACTGTGTTTTTAAGCTTTAATTCATATTTATGTACCTATAGGAATTGATCATTTATATGTGAGCAGTGTTGAGTAAATTGATAACTGAACCAGAACATTGAAAAAATTATGTTCAAATAAATATTGTATATTTATATTATGTCGTTATAATTTTCTTAAAAAGAAGTATGAATTCTAAAACTGATTTCAACTTTTTTATGGTGTTTACCCCTAAAATAAGATGATAAACTTTTTTTGCAAGACATTAAAACATTTTTCTTATGTTCATGCTTAAGTTTATCATGTATAGGCGATAATTTAAAATTTATATATTTTGTGACTCACAAATGGGCCGCAACCCCTAGGTATTGCTGACCTAAATGATAAAATCCATTGAAAGGTTGTGTTAATCGACTATTAAATCATAACAACATTAATAAGTCTTTAAATTAGTATTTGTAATCACAAAAATTTGTCTAAATTTGGGCAACTCATATCGCGTTTTCTATTCCTCTAATTATCGCTAATACTAACAACACAAGAACTGTTATAAGATACGCAAAAAGTGCAAGACTATAATTATAGAATGGAGTTCAGAAAAATTATATAAAAGTATTACAGTGAAACTTCCATGTAACAACATTTTCTGTTTAAGGAAATATTTTTGAGAACCAAATTTATTTATTTCTTTTAAATTCTGTAGGATACAAATTGATTTTGTTCCCTATGAGATTTCGTAATATGGAAGTTTCACTGTATTTGCAAATATTAACTTCTTAACATTGTACATATTTATTTTGTAATTTTCAGTTTACCCGTCCATTTGAAGCAGCCAGCACTGAATTAAGAATAAAATCTGGAGGCACTATAGCATCAGCAAGTGTCACTGCTTCATTTTTAAGACTTGAACATAAATCTATTATGGATCCTTTAACTATTACAGATGCTAATGGCCCATTAGCATAGCCACCTATTAATGAAAACAAGTAATAATTATTAATATTTAAAATGTTTATTGTTTTCAATCATATTACCTTCATACATAATTGACAAATGTTTTTCAACTAGCCAAAATCCATAAAGTGAAGCAAGTTTATGTAATACTACTTTATGTGCGTCATCTAAATTTGGAGATGATGTTGTTTCAATAAACTTTTTCAAAATTAAGTACTGTAAATAAAATAAATATTTATAAGACACATGACTTAAGTCCTATAAATATTATAAATTTACTTCTGCAAATACTATTGACAGATCCCTAGCAAAGAACATCTGGGAATCATTTTTCGCTGTAAATAAATCTTTTCTTTGATCTTTTAATAGTTGCAATTGTGCATATGTCTGACGTAATAAATAGCATATCATCCATTGAAAACAAGATAATAAATCTAAGTGGACCCAAATAATTATTTATATAATAAATAACAAATTATTTAAAAAAATATACTTACTCATATGAGTGAATACTTCATCTACTCTAGATAATTTAAATTTTTCACTTAGTATAGTTTTGGAATCTTTAAGAAACTCTATAGTACCCAATGGAGTATCACAACAACTTGTATTTCCATTCAGTAAATTTGTCCATATATTTAATAGCCAATTACTGGTTTGTTGTATTAATACATTATTATCACCTTCATATGTGCAATTAGCATCATTTGCATTGCGCAGTTCACTAAGCCCAGCAGCTAATAATAAAATTAAGAATTTATAAAAAATTAAATTAAATTGAATCACCCGCATGTGTTGTCTTTGTCTTATAAGTGTGTAGCATACCACACACAATTTACCCCCACGTTTGATTTGTTAGTTTAAATATACCTTTAACCTAATACCTTTTAAAGCTCAAAGGTAAGAACATTTTCTATCTATTGTTGTTTTTTTGAATATTTTAATTTTAAATTTATTCTAAAAGTAAAATATTAAATTTAAAATTTAAAAATGCTCATAAAATTAAAATATTGAATAAATATTAAATATATCCAACAAAACAGAAAATATTTTAATTTTGAGTTTAATTACAGGTTAATTTACATGATATCAAAACTATCAAAGCTTAAGGGACCCGGTGCCAGTTTTTCAAATTGTCTGCAATTCTATAAAATTTGAAAATGAAATTGTACATGTTAGTTGTCACCTTTATTATAATACGTATCCACTAATCTACTACCCGATACCTATGTAGGGGGAGGTGGGGTTGATAGGGTGTATTATATTTAAAAAATGACTTCAGGGGAATAATTCTCAAGTTCTTGTAGAATTATTGGATTTTGATATCTATTTTTTTTTATCGAAAAGAAGAAGATTTCATGTACAAAATTACATCGGCACATTAATTTTGTTAATCATGCACTCGTAGAATTGTGACAATACATGTGGGTAAGTTGAAATACCTTTTAAATAACCGTGACCACCACATGCTTCTCTACACTCTTGTATTGCATCTCGACATGTCCACGCAGCTATGGGTTTGGTACAACTAGATATTGCATGTATCTCTGTGCCAAGCAATCTCTATACATAGATAACAAATACATTAAACATTTTTAAATTGTTTAAAAAATATTTTTTTTATTACAATTTTTTCTGAACCACTGTTGGAATACATCTCAATTAAAAATGATTCATATACATAAGCCACATAATCGCCATAGATTTTTAATGCATACGCAGCAGCCAAATTTGGGATCAATCTACATTGCTGAAAATAAAAGAATATTTAAACGTTTAAAAACAATCAATAAATTATCATTTACATCAGAGAACAGTATCATAACATAATAAAATAGGCACTTTAATGTGAAAATAAATTAAATAAGTTTTTATTTATACTTACTACTAATTGATACTCTAAGACTGGTAACTCATCACCATTAGGGGGTCCAAACTGTTTCCTAACACCTGTATATCTTATAGCTATTGGAACAGCTTTTGTGATGTATGCTACACATATATTTACAATACTTAATCGTCCAACAGATAAACTGCCTAAAGAAGCTCCTGGAAATATAATTAGATAAATTTAATAATGACATTATAGACATAAATCAGATTATATTTTCTCAAAAACATTAATATTTAAAAAAAAATATTTCAAATGTACCAACACAAAGTTATAGAATGTTCTAATTTGGTTAAAATCTACCACGGTGTGTTTATTCAGAAATCTACCAATTAAATTTTAAAAAAATAAGTCATTCTAAAATGAGTGACTTAGAGATGAGCAAGTATGTATTACTTTTTTGAAGTTGAAGTGGGTAGTCTAAAATTAATTTTTTGAGCTGAGTCTAGTTCAAAAATCACAAAAAATTACCTAAATTTACTAAAAAAAAGTTCGAACATTAGGAATTACCAAAGTATTTTAAATTTTACGAGTTCTAGAATATTTTCCGTATACACTGAAATTTCAGAGTTCTATTATTGACATATGAGTTTATTAATATTTAAGTATTATATTTAGTAAATAATAGTTAGGTTAATTCAAAAATGCCTTAATTTTTAGTATAATTAAGTTAATAATGTTTAAAACTTCAAGATATTTTAAGTTTTTACATTTATTTTTAAATTAAATAGTGGAGTTAAGTCGAGTGCTCGCCCAGCTCTAAATTTATTTAAATTACCTAGTATTTTGATATAAACCTCAACATTTTTGTAAAGTTAAATTTTGATCGTACAAAATGAATACAAGATGTTTTCAATAAATTTACACTATTTAAATCTTATAATATTGACATTACCTCATGGCCATGGGCGTAGCTGAGAATTAATAATTACAGGGGCTAGAGTCCTAGAAAACCAAAGTTCAAAATAAGCTGTGGGGAAAAGCCCTCTACACTCACCACTATAAGCGTCACTAGAGTTAAGTAGTTACAGGGAGACCTGTGATAAATATTATTTAATATAAATTGTCGCCATTGAGATATATAAGCTATATTACCTCAATATTTAATAGTGATAATTTATAAAACTATTGGTAGTGATTATATAAATAAATGGTTATTGAAATGTATAATATACTATATATAATACATATTATATTACCCAATCGTTTTGATTTATCCTTAAACGGTGAAACATATTTTCCATCTTCATTTATGTCTCCAGTTTTACTCAGTAAACTTTCTTTTGGTATACAAAACTTGTTAAACATTATAAATCTATCAAAAAAAAAAATGTGTTATTGTTACAATATCTATTTAAAAAAACAATATTAACATATTTATTAGTTAGTAATACAGGATTCTCAACCCACAACAATAAGGATTTCCTATAAAAAGTGTTCCATATAATGTATTTCTTATTATGTCTGTTAAATATATTTACTAGTTCAGTTAATTATGTTAATTGTAATTTATTATAAAGATAAAAATTGTCTTAAAATAAACCACCTCTATTTCTTATAAAATAAATCACATATAATGTGTAGTTATTAAAATATACAATATTCCTTTTTATCTGTATTTTGATTATTTATTGAAATTGAAATTGTTCAGATAAACGTTACAATTAACTTTATTTAATGAATAAATATAAAATAATTTCTGTGTGTATAGGTATTGCATAAATCTATAAAAGGGTTAAGTGCACTAAGTAAAAATGGTTGTAGATCCTTGTAATAATGTATGATTTAATTAAATAAAAATTACCCGTTATCAACACCATTCAAACTGGCTTTTTCTCCTAAGTCACCAACTATGACTCCAGAATAAGGTAACATTGTTTTTGGATCTCGTATATTAACTACAAATGCATGTAATCCGTGATCATCACCATTACTCATGATTAGTTTGGCCCATATTATTGCGTGTGTACTTGATTTTCCTAAATTAAATTTTTTAATTTTCAATCAGAAATTGTTTAAAACCGTGAAATTAAAGTATTAGAATGTTCTTTCATTTTTGTTTTAAATTTTTTGAACTACAACGTGAGAAAAAAGTTTTTATACTTTGATATTTAAATATTTAATATAACTTTAGATTAAACAGTAAAATATCAAAAATAACTATTGAGATAACACAAATTATGTTTTTATCTTTAAGTTTTATACTTATTCAATCATCAATGTACTTTTGCATTAAAAATAACATAACTGAAGTTTTAATGTATAAAACACCAAAATTAAACCATTTTCAAATAGGTAATGAAAATGAAAATGATTCTATTGAAAGCAAAGTAACATAACATACCTAAACTACCAACCCAACATTTTGCTGCTTCGAAATCAGGAGTATGTAAAATAAACTGTTTTAAATTGTTGTCATATAAAGCTGTAGTTCTCATTTCCTTAGTATTAGTACCATGTGAAATTTCTGTAAGTGCAAAACAACCAGGAACCTGAAAAATGAAGTCAATCGCTTTTGTAAAAATGTTTCATAATAACACTATAATATTGTTTAATTAAATCTTACTTTTCCTTCTTGAGCATTTTCATACAGATTAGAATTTCTTCCATTATCCATACTAAATATGACATTAGAGAACATGTCAAAAGTCAATCCGACTTTTATTGCAACAGACGGACAATACTGAAACATTGCCACTATTTTTGCTAAAGCCTAAAACATTATCTTTTATATAAACAATATATAATATTATTTTTCGCTGTATTCACCAGTCTGGGACTAGACATTATTTCTTCAAATGGAAATACTTTTGATTCTACAATTCTATACATTCTTAATAATGCTAATCTTCGTTGTTCATCTAATGGTAAAGTTTCATTAGAATGTTGGAATAGTGGATCAGATTCAAACGTTTTCCAAGCTCTCATCTAAAATGGAATATACATTATAGTATCATAAAATATATTTAAATTAAATTAGTATATTATATACCTTGTATCGTAAAATATCTTCAGATTCTATGAAAACCCTCATTTTTTTCCAGTTGATTGTGGAATTTTTTCTATAAACATCTAGTGGTCCAGATTCAAAGTCTTTTAATATATCAGAACACGTGTTCATTGTGATCTATTAATATTTTGAATTATTAAATAGTACTTAGTAACAAGCATAAAAAAGATTAAATGATTAAATAACTTTTTAATAGAAATGTATTGTGTTTTGTATTATTATTATTAATATTTAGACAATAGGTATTAGGTGTAATCTATATACCTATTGTTAAGAATTTCATAAATTAACAGTGGCATAGCGACAGGGGGGGGGGGGGGCAAATGGGAGCTGAACGTTTGGACACATAGGCTTGTACAAATAGACACACAATGTTTGGACACATAGAATAAAAGAAATTTATAATTTTACCTGGTAAATCAGAAAACATAATATACAGTATAAGAGAATAAGTAATAACATTAATTACATCTGCGTCAATATAATATAAATAACTATAAGATTTTTTTATTCGTTCAATCAGAATGTGAATAATACTGAAGTTTTTGAAACCTGTTGTGGTAAAAAGTGAGTTTTAAATTATAATTCAAAATATAATAAAATTAGAATAAATAAGGATGAAAACAAAATGTTTTTTTTTTTTAAACATCTGCTTCTATGGCTATTAGTAAAAATATTTTGTTGTACCTACCTACTATGTGTAACATACTAACATAACAGTTGGGTATGTTACTAAGATAACAAAATGTCAAATACATTTAAAAAAAAATTAATGAATTTAACCTTCACAAATGATATTGGGAAATATTTATATGACATCACCACCATGGTTTGTTGGAAATAAAAATAAAATTGAATAACCTAATGATTAAATATGATTAAAAATATTTTTAAACTATAAGCAAAAAAAAAAAAAAACTTAGGAGACAATAATAAATTAAGAGCCAACCTCCCTCCTCATGGTATCTCCTGAAAAACGCTATAGACTCTAAAAATAAAACCTGAAAAATATATTTACCTAAACGTGGTATTATTTTAAAAATATGATGTACCAAAATGTTGAACCTATAATTTTTGGTGTCTGAAATAATGTTTACCCAAACATGTGTTCTCAATAGTTCTCCCAAATTCGAAGTAAAAAAAAATGGTGAAGTATTGTGTGGAGGTGATGATTTTGTTCATAGGAAGTTGAATTAGGAATGTTAAAAAATTGATGATTTCTAGTGTGTTCTAAGTAGAACACAGAATACAGTCAATGAAAGAAGGTTTGGTACATCTATTAGATGCCATCCAAGGATAAGTTTTAAAATAGACATTAAATGAAATTTGATTCAAGTGTCTAGGTGTCAAGTAAATAGTGATGGATTTTAAGAGAGTTATGTACTTATGTATGAGAATAGTCATAAAAAGGATACTCAATTTGCTGTTAATTTGCAAAAATAAGCTGCATGGATCTAAGACAAAATATTCAAATAAAAAAAATGTATAATTATTTAATTAGGCACACTGTTTATTTTTACGTCACATTTTAAAAACATATTTTAATAGTATAATAATATGTTGTGTATTTGTGTACCTACAAAGTTCCATAAAATAATAATTATATTTTTAGTTGGTGTTACACTGTATTGTAATGTGTAACAGACATAATAAATCAGTTCAAGTTGATTATAAGAAATGTATATGATCAATTATTATTTTCAAAAAATATGATTGTTTCATAATATGTTGCACTGCAGTGCTCGAATTGGAAATTATTAAGTAGAGGAGCTCAATCCAACAATTTATAAACTGGGGGTACTGGTCTAGTTGACCCCCGCCAAGAAAATATTCCCCCCGCCACTCAGGTTTAGCTGACGCCCGCCACTTAAATCTCTCGTGTTTTCGATTTTCTAGTCAATAATCAAAACTATAATTATAGATTATAGAAAATTATAGACCAAACATTCATTCGGTATTTATAGATACATAATATATGTGAATAAATAAATCGTAAAAAAATTATTCACCACATAAGCTAATACATTTAAGCTAGATATACAGGTGATTTAAATAAAAATAGATAAATAATGTACATAATATATGAATAAATAAATAGTAAAAAAAATATAAATCATTCACATATAATTTATATAAATAATAATGAAGAAAATAATAAAACATTATGCAAGTGGCCAAAATTCTGCTATGTCCTTCAAAATTTCATTAAATGGATTGCGGCCGTTTAATTTACTTCGCCACATAAACTCTGACAAATAAGAATCTAGGAAGTATCTAATTAGGAAATTTCATACGAATACCTAACGTGTGTGATTTCGTACCTTTTTATCTGCAGTATATACATTCTATATCGAATGACTAGGTAGAACATCAAAAACGCAAGAGATTTAAGTGGTGGTCGTCAACTAAACCTGAGTGGCAGGGGGAATATTTTCTTGGTGGGGATCAACTAGACCAATACCAAACTGCGTTCCAAGTGAAAAATTACTCAACGAGACCAATGGGGGGCTCTGCCCCTACCACCCTCAATTAATTCCTAATTTTTCAATACTACATTTCACCTTGGTTGCATAATTTTAACTTAATTCTATTCCAAATATAGTAGATAATAGATATAATAAAAGTTAAAAGGTCTACTGATATAGAAAATCAATAATTTGAGCTTACTTATGATACCAAACTTAAACAAATGTTTATTGAAACTTTTTTGGATATGTTATTATGTTTTGGACACACTTAGGCACGGGAAATTACAAACTAGCAGCTATAGTCTTTATTTCTTTTATGGCCTACAAAGTTGACACGAGTCGTGAAAATATTGTTACAAAAACAGTGGATGGCAAGTCTAAAAAGTTGAACATTACTACTTACTAGTCAAAACCATTGAAAGAATGAAAAATATTTTTTATACTAAAAAATTTAAAATTCATTAGATATATCTTTGACAACAATTTAGATCCACTCCAAATTTTAATAAAAATTATTTTGGGTATTAGTTTGTACCGTACCCCTGTCCAAGTAAAAGTAAATAGTTGGGGTACGAAAAAAAAAAAGAAAATAGTAGAGGAGGGCCGTCCCCCTGAGCACCCCCCCCCACCAATTCGAGTACTGTGTTGCAGAAAAATTGAAAAAATAATAAACTAATGCAGAGGTTCCTAAGTTTTTTACAGTTCGATACATTTTGGTGACTCACAAGTCTATAATGTGTATTTATTATTGCCTTTTATTGTTTATATTTCAATATAGAATAACCTTTACTTTGTAAAAAAAAAAAATTATTAAAAAATATTTTTTATTTATTGATCCAGAAACTGAAAACAAATAATTATATCCTAGCTATATGATGAGAATACAATTTATATTTATCTATACTTATACTAGGTATAATATAGGTAAATTGTATACCATACAAGTGTCTCACTGTGCAAAGTCCATCTTCATAATTTATGCAGAGGTTAATAGGCTAAAATAGTTCAAATCGTATGTAAAGCAAAATAAATGTTTTAATTGGAGATGGTCACATTTGTAATGGAGTCTATTTTTTAATATGTATGTAAGAATGGTATATTATGAATGAGGTGAATAGGTGATGTAAAATATTTTTGATTTATATTTGACTTGACAAACTATTTCACTAACAATTAGGTAGACTGTTTTTATACATTTATATACCAAGTGGTTAATGTCCTACTGTCTTATTACTCAACAACATTGAAAATGAGGTATAGAGTTTAATCCATAAGTCATTTTTATAATAAACTAGCTGATCCCGTGCACTTCGTTGCCCGTTAAATGTACCAACTCTATAACTCTATACCCTATGACTCAAACTTTGTTCAATTCGTTATATAATATTCGATGTATGGTATACAAAATTCATCTTAACTTTTCCGTTTTCCGGTATAAATATTCTGATTCACAGCAGTATATTATCAGGTAGACAATCTACCTGCGGTAGATCGCTGACCGCATGATGTTTAACCATACAGTATCAAAGTTATACCAAGTTTGTCGTATTCCACCTATGGTGGGTGGATTAATATAATCAATTAATACAAAATCCTAACCTAACATAACCATACTAATATCAGATGAATAAAAAAAAAACCAAATTTAAACATTTTTAAATTGGCCTGTCTTCTTCCCAGTGGTCTAATCTACACACAAACATTAATTTATAAAATTATTTTATATATTATAGCTGATCCCGTGCACCTCGTTTCCCGTTAAATGTACCAACTCTATATGACTCAAATTTTATTCAATTCGTTATTTAATATTCGGTTTATGGTGTTCAAAATTTATCTAAACTCTTCTGTTGCCTGGCATAAAAATTCTGATTCGCAACAGTAAATTATCAGGTAGGCAATCGAATTGTGTAGATCGCGGACCCCGTGCTATTTGTACCTAACTTCATAATTTAACTCTAAAGTATCAAAGTTATACTAAGTATGCCACTGAAATCCTCCTAAACGGCTGGACTAATTGTGAAGGCCGAGTCTGTCGACTAATATTTCCTCCTCATCCACGAAGACGTGGCATTGTTGTATGTACGTAACTTATATGTGAGTATAATAAGCTCAATATTTACGTAATTGCGATACATATAATATCAAAACACAGCGTACAAAAAAATTAAATGCATTGAATATACGGCAACCAATAATTATTATTATAATAGCTTTAAAAACCATGGCGAGTGGCGACTATTTATAAACAAAAATTTCCACCGTAAATCTCTAAATCCCCATTTGAGCACACCCCTTGGTTGGACCTTTTATACCTTTTAGACCTTTTAGATCTTCTCCTGACAATTACGAACATCTTAAAAAAAAATTGAGCCAAATCGGTCCGGCCGTTCTCGAGTTTTATCGAGACTAACGAACAGCACGTCGTTCTCTAGGCATTTTGGACTATGGACAGAGTGTTGAATTTAACTTCAAATGCACGATCCACATAATTTACATAATTTATTTTAGCTTAAATGAAATTAACTGAGCAGAGAATAATGACTATCTGTCAAACACTTTATCACGCACCGTTGCTATTGGTTTGAAGTACATGCTATGTATAATAGATGGCGCTGTATGTGAAAAACGATTTCCCCACTTTTCTGTTGAATTTTTCCTGAATTTTCCAGAATTTTCTTTGCTATAAACCTCACGGAGCCCAAGACCTTTCCAACGAATGCAAAACCGTGGAAATCGGTTCGTGCGTTCTCGAGTTATAGCGTCAGGGAGGAAAACCGGACTTATTTTTATATAATAGATTATCAACAATAAACTAGGTACTAATATATAAAACCTAATAAAAAATAATTTAATATTGTATTTATGTGAGAAACCTTTTACATATTTATAATATGTTTAAATAAATGTACCTAAATATAAATTGTTCACAACTATTATTTGTATTCCAGATAGGTTTCCAAATCTAACAGTTAACCAATTCTGTTTAGCATTTTTTACTTTAAATACCTACTTAGCTGTTGCCTGTTAAGTACTTTTTTGGTTTTTTGGTTAAGGTTCTAAAAATGTTTTCAATATTTCATGAAACTGAATGATATTAAATATTAATCTGCAATAATTATTGTTATATGGAACAATATGCTGTCTTGTAAAATTACCTCGTTATTACTTGTATTTGAACACTTCAATTTTTGTAGATAATTTATTCTACGCCTCATTAAAAACATTTTGACACTAAAAAAAGATATAAAATACCTTAAAGTACTATCTGCAAATCAACATAGGAGGTGGATAAAATATGATTTAACATAATAGAACCAAAAGCGATACTTAAACTGGGTTCTTCTTTATATTTTAAATTAAGTAAGAAAACTACTGGATAATACTGTCTATTTAACTTTACACACAAATACACAAACTTTCAATTTTACAATTAAACTTTGAAATTTAATATAAGCAATACTAGACTACCTAAATGGGTACTATACTAGTTTTTAAAATGTAATTTACAATGTCCTAGAATTTTACTGAAACTAGGTGAATGGTCTTTGCGGTTGTCGGTCTTTAATGTTTAGTTGTTCAACACACTGTGGAATTGACTAACCAAGTAATCCTTTGGACGAGGGTTGTGGACTTTGTAATATAATAAAATTACTTTATAAATTATAGTTTGTACATACCTTGTTTATTCAAACTACAATAAATCTGTTTATTATAAGCGAATACGATTCCCCTAATCAATAAAACCTTATTGCTCAAAAATATTTTATACGAATTATTAGAAAAATACTTAAGAACTATTGACGGGAACACGATAACAACTTTCACGTGAAGACTGTACTAGTCGACTGAGTAGTGAGTGAGTACTGACTCGTCAGTGGTCGACCGTCGTCTACTTGTCTTCGCTTTAAAGACTTTCGATTACGTGAATGGTGAATCCACATCATTCTGCATGTACCGCCGTACCGGTCATAATATTTACCACCATTGAATAGGTGTACCCCGAGTGTCAATTAAATTTGTGTTGTCTTGTACAGTTGTACCATTGATAAAATATATAGGTATGTTCTCAACATATGATGAACTATGAAGTATATTATGCAATATTATGCAAAATATAATTCGAAAGTTAACTGATACCATAGAACAATACCACACTGATACTCTATCACAGATATATATATAATATTATAACGGTATATATATATATATATCATTAAATCATTATGATATACAATGATAATGTCTCGAAATAATAGTGATAAGTGAAATCAACAAACAACAAACGTTGCAATACGGTCTACGGAATTCGGACTACATTTTTTTAGTTAATACCAAATACGTTAATAATATAATTTATAGTACTTGTTAATACACTATACACATTACACATACACTATGGGTTTCAGTGATCGGAATATCGGAGTTTAAATGTAGTCGATACAGAGAAGAAGAAATAATTGTGCTATGTCTATTGTCTATTAGTGACTATTAGTGTCCATCATATATTATAGATTCATCTATTTCGTGATACGGCTGTCTGTAAGTCTACGAGGTTTGCAGGACAAATTTTATAAAAAAACAACCTTTTGAACCAAGCACGAATACGGAAAAGGTGATTAACCCATTCCCTACAGTCTCCTAATTAGGGTTGTTGATTCAAACGCCTTGAACATCTGAAACAATCCAAAATCATCTTTTAACCTTTGATGTGATACGGTTTGTACAGGCATTTGTATTTATGAGGACGTTTCATTTTCCAACCATGTCCATATCGTTGTGGTCAATATTGAATAGATTTAACACCGAGTGAGTAAAATAAAATATTGCGATGTCAACAATAGAATATCATTTAATAAGTGTCAACATTTGACATTTGGTCCTCAGTAAAGCTGCATCGTACAGCCGCCTATCTACCGGCACTGGACACTTTCGTATCACTGTTTGGGATCCTGCGTTGATTGTTGCTCAAATAGCGTCTGTCCAATGTCTTTACTACTTCACCATGTGTGTTTGGATCACTATTATCAGCTATGTGGTTGGCACTTCAAGATCGTTGGACATCATATTTGAATTCAAAGTACATACCTAATCACAACAATAAAATAATATTTTAAACACTTACAGTCAGTGGCGTATACAGGATTTTTCAATAGGGGAGGAACCAAGAAGAGAACTTGAAAATTAATAAAAAATTAATAATTGCTCATAGTTTTCCCAACTCACAAAACTAGGTTTGAAAAATAAAAAAGGTGATTTCTTAGTTTTTACACATATGGAATATAAAAGATATTTTTTAAAACACTTATCATAAAAGTAATGGGTAGTAAAGAACAACTTTAAGTTAGTTTCGTCCAGTCTCATAATTTCAGACTTTTATGTGAACTACTTGAAAATTGTACAATTTCAACTTCTGTCATTTTTTTTTTTTATATATTATGTTGGCTATAGCTAATTCGTCAAGATATATATGACTATACCTACCAATTTTCTATAGATTAATGAAACTTATAAATATAAAAATAATAATAATACAGACAACGGGAAGAGCTCAGCCCATCTCCTTGTGTAGTTGTGTATGTCGCTGCTTACTATAATATGCTTATTATTACAGGAGTTAAGCAAGGTCAACAGTGAAAAATTTGTTATCGCAGTGTTTGCATTGAATGCACTTAGTGGGTGAGTATGAGATTGACAATAATCTAATAAAATAATCTACATCAACAAATTGTTACTGTTTAGGGCTACATTCATTTGGCGCATTGTTGAACGATATCGATTGTGTTTAGATTTTTCTTGTACGATACACACCATACACTTGGCAGCTTGTATTTGGTATAACAGAACATTTCCTACTCCATTTTGGTGGTTATTAAATGCTTCATGTGCAGCAATCACGTGTATATGCGCCGAATTTCTGTGTATGCGGACAGAGTTAAACACTATACCAGTAAATAGTGGACAGACGCCAAAAGTTGATTTGTAAAATATGTATACTGTATAAATATTGATTTTTAAAATAACATTAAGAAATAATTTTTAAAGTGATAACATGTATTTGTTGCAGTCTGTCGTACTTTGTTTTATTTTTATCCATAAATATTAACAAAACTTAGTTAAGAATATAAAATTATAAAACATTTATATGTATCTTTGATATTGGCTGTGAAAATACAATATATTATATTATTAATTAAATAACTTAATTTAAACAATCATTTGGTATAAAAAGTAGTTTAACAATACCATTTAAAATCAAGAATGATATAACTTTTTTTTTATATGGTAGCATTACCACAGAATATGCTTATTCTGGATCTGGGACATGGCACCCAATATAGTTATCATTTTTGATTGCTTGTGAAAGTACAAAATTCCAATTTCTATTCATTTTCATTGTTGCTGGATCTCCAATTATTATGAGCAATGATTTTGCCCTGGACAATGCGACATTGGTGCGTTCATTGGCAACAAGGAAACCGATACTAAATTTCTTATCTTTTTCGTGTCCTGTTGTGGATGTGCTCCTAACTATGGATATGATAATAACCATCCTTTCTTGACCTTGGAACATTTCTACCGAGCCTACTTTTGGTAATTTGATATCTGGATAGTACATTTTCAGTAACTCATTGATTTTGGAGACCTGAATCATACACAGAAAAAAGAGAATATTATTATCAAAGTTGGTATGGAATATAACATTATCAGTATTTACTTGAGAAGAGTATGGGGTGATAATTCCAATGTCATCAACAGATATTCCAGATTTCATTAACCTTGTAAAGTACAATAATACTTGGAAGGCTTCATGGGGATTAAACCATGAAGGACTACTGAAATCTTGGCTATCTTTGCCAACGATACCATGCACAATAACTGGTCCTTTACAACCTATATCCCAGTGAGTATTTTCATTCAAATTATTTAATAATATTCTTTCCTGTGCGTTATCATTTAATATCTATAATAAGCAGAATTTAAAGTGTGAACATTATATGAATATTATTGTCTTATTCATGAAGTGTTGTCATTACTTACAGTTGGCACTAATAAAGATTTATAAAATAATTTATTGAAATTGAACATAATTTCTGGCAAAGATCGATAATTCTGAACTAAGTGTGTAATAAGTTTCGGATTATAACCATTATGTTCTGGAAACATGTCAGTATCTCTCAGGTATGACGGGTAATTAATAAAACGAGATAACATGGAAAGTTCCAGACCACCAGAGCGCTTTGCTAATAATGACATAACAACAGGTCCCAACTGCTTGGGATCGCCAGCCAATATAACTTGTCCATCTCTGTATGGATCCAAAAATGCTGAAAAATTAGTTAAGACAATGAAAATATTTTTAAAAAATCTAAATTACTATACTCTATTCAAAATAAGACCGTGATAAGGCGGCCGAGTTGTGCGCATGGGCGTGGCTTTGTTCCGTGGCAGCGCCCAACGTGTCGCCGTAGTGGGGACAGTGTCTGACCGCCGCCCGACAAAAACTGGTTGCCGCCTGGTCACGGTCTTATTTTGAATAGAGTATAGATACATACAAAGTGGTAATAATATATCTGGTTCTGTTGATTGTCCAGCTTCATCTATAAATATATGAGTGAAGGTTCCACCCTTTAAGCCCATCATATACAGTAATCCAGCTGAACCTTCAGTGGAAAGAACTATTCGTAACTTGAGAATTTCATTTTTTCTAATTAACCTAGTGTCTAAAAAAAAGTAAGAAAGTTAAATTATTATTATAACTAATAACTATATACATTTTTACAATATAGATCAATTTTATCACTGGAGTGATTCATCTAATGTAAAATATAATACAAGTGATTTAACATTAAATTAATTACTATTATATTATCAAATATATAATTATTTCCCATTACCTGTTTCACCACCGTGATATGAACCCTCAAGTTCAGGTAAAGCACAATATTCATCATAATCCATGTCATAAGATGAACTAATAAAATGATTATAGCTGACTAAACGCTTCATAATAGTATTATCAAATAAACCAGAATTTACAAGTTTAGACAGTAACATGTCAACGGCAGAATTGGTTGGTGCACAAATCAACAATCTAAAAAAAGTTAAATATTGGTTTAAGGAAAGCATGAAAAGTGAACCAACCAGTATCCCAAAAGACAGCTGATTTTAGCAGTTTGATCAGTAGAAATAACGCAACCAGAAATTTTCCAGATAGCCCATAAAAATGCACTCTTATTATTTTATTGATAAATAATAAATATTATTATCTCAATTTACATTAACATTGAATAGTGAATACAATTTGATATAAATACTTTAAACATAGTTCTACAAGGCTTCTACGATACATCATTCTGGTTGGGTCACTATTCAGCAGTATTTACCATAGAACAGTCATGTTTGCAATAAGTTGAACAACAAAGAATTAAAAATACTAACTTGCTTTTGGGGAATTCTTTGTACACTTGGATGATGCTTTCTGTCATTGTTATTGTTTTACCGGTTCCAGGGGGTCCGTAAATAATATAAGGCATTGGTCTCCCTTCACCTTTCATAATGTTAATGACAGCACTTTTTTGTTCAGAGTTCAATTTATTATTAAACCATCTGATCTTTTGCACAACCTTTGGCTGTGGTAACAGAGTATTGCTATTTTTTTTTAAATTATCCTCATTACTGTTGTCTGGGTTTATTTTGTCATAACTTAGAATCTTCAATTTCGATGGCTGGTATTCCAAAGAATCCCTGTATGGAAATAAGAATGATTCACCTAGTCTATTCTTTTTCCACATTTCATTGACAACTTCATGTAGTTTTCGATACATATTTCTGGCGTTAAAAAAATTCACACTATAATCCCAATGGCCACATATACTATGGAATTCTGGATCGAACTTTAACCATATTTCATCTGCCAAAACCTTATGGATTATGCCTTCATAGACTCCACATTCACCTAGTTTCAAATTGAATCACCGTAAGTAATGTCTATTAAAATATTCAATTTCTAATCAAATTTAATCAGTTATACTGACTCAAAAGCTTCATAATATAATAGTATGATAAAAATTGATTGATTTTAGAAGTTATTTTAAATAGTTAAGCCACTTAGTACTATCTTTGATTAAATACACAAATATAATATATTTATGTATTCATTTTAATCAATAGTACTAGAAAACAAAGTTCATTATTCTATTTATAGTTATTACAATAATATATACATTTTTAAGCCAATAGGTATTGGTCTGTTTAGAAAAACATTTACCTAGTCTTTTAGTACAGTTTGGTGGATCTGTAACTGCAGCTCGATCACCAGTAATTAATGAAGGCCGTTGCTCAGAAAGATTGGGTATTTTCAGAACTAGATATTCACCTGAATGCTCAAAATGTATTCTTTCTTGTGCATATTTTTGAAGAGCTGCAGTAATCTAAAATGTATAACAAATTATATAATTTGAAGATTATAGTGAGTATGATTACAACTTAAATAAATAAATACTAAGAAATTATTATAATATTATACTTTAGTTTCAAGTGTGTCAGCAAGATGAAATCCCACCCAGGGCAAGATGAAAATTACTTATAATTTATAATCTAATATTAGTTATAGTGATATTGATATACAAGTAGGTACGTGCAGTTAAAAATTCTCAGGGGGTGGGCAAGGGCCCCCTTTCCCCCGCACAGCCTACAGACACCATTGTTTAGTTCCGAGGGCAATCCAGATTGAATGTAGAAGCAGACCTAAGAGTTGCATTGTCAATATGATGTGCAAGTCTATCATTAAATTAATAATAATCTTTTATTAATTCATTATATTTACACTTATTTTATGTTTTAAATTAATCACAATCGTTCATTATTTTTAGATTCCGAGCAGAGCGTGTAACAATGAGTTATAACTAGGGTTGGGATTTTAATGCCCTAAATAATCCCGAAAAATACCCTAAAAAAAATGCTTTAATGATCTAAACATTTTTTTTTTTTAATAATTTTAGTATAAATTACAATAAAAAGTTTAAAAAAATGCATTACAAAAATCTATTACAAGTGTAAGCTGTCAATACATAGTTTTAGTATACAAAACTCGTACTGAACGTCGAACGATATCATCGGACCGATTTAATATTACCGATTTAAGATTATTTAACAGGAAATGCGGGTAGAGGTTACTCAAACCTTGTCCGATAATATAATACGAATTACAAATACCTACTTATAATCTGTTATATTTATTTAAAAACCCTGTTGGTGTAAAAATCTTAAAATAAAATTTCAAATTCATACTTGGTTTCCAAAAACTCAAAAAATGCTCCAAAAACTCTAAAATGCCAAAAAATGCAAAATAAACTTTCTTATTCTCATTCAAATGTACATAAAACAAATTTGTGATAAGACGAGCATTGCACAGTAAGCTTAGAAAAACAATGCAAAGTGCATCGAAATCCCAGCCCTAGTTATAACATACAACATAAATGCTTACAACAAATTACTACATATTAAGATCAACTTTATATTTTAAATTATGGTACAACACATCAATTGATAATTACAAACACTTTACTTTTAATAAACAATTTGTAAGTACACTTATTACTTACCTCTATTTCTTCCATGAATAAAAGAGTATGATATTTTGCTTTGTAATTTTGGTAGGTAAGATCTTCAAAAGCAGCTGGATATAATTTTTGAATATTACTTTTAACTTCAGATGTGTTTCTACATTAATAAATAAAATAAAATAATTAGTAAGCACTGCTATGTTAGATTAACTTCAAACAATGGTTATATTATTTTTAAATTTCAAGAGTTGTATTAGCTAAAAAAATGATATTTAATTATGTTTGAGTATGTTCATTGTTCACATATATGATTGATCAAAAACTTCAATGTTCAACTAATTTATTATAATTAGATCTATGTGAAGAGATCTGAGATCTGTATTTGAAGTATTTTTGAACCCTTCCTAAACAATAGGAAGTCTGAAGTAATATTTTTAAAAAAATATACTCAATTTTACAATCAAAATACCTATGTTATAAACATTAAAATTTATAATTTCATGGGGGACGGAGTGACCGAGCGGACTAGGGCGTCGGTTGCGACGTGCACCATCGTCAGTTCAAATCTTGATTTGATCACGGGCGGCACTTCTCTCCTGGCAGACATCTGTTTGGAGAGAGAGGCCACCATCTCCCGACCGGGCATGGCAGAAACCTACGGTTAGGTTAGACATACGGGTGCCTAATCGAAATTCTGCCAAACAAACACACATGTTAAAAACCTACCCTTAGTCACCAGGCTTAAAAGATTAAGAAAAAAAAAAATTATAATTTGCTAGGTCTTCAAAATATGAGATACTTTTATACTATTTCATTACAAAGAATTTTTGGGCCAGAGTTTAACTTGAAGACCACCCAACTTAAAAATTTTAGGCGCTAAAATATGTACCTTATAACTTAATTTAACAATGAACATTTTTTAAATCAGTTTAGGAAATTATTTTGAACTTTATAGTAATTTTAAAAATAGATAAAATTAAATTTGTATTACTGATTGAATTTTCCATTTTCAGACCAGTAACATTTTGTTAACTGAGATGGAATATTCCAATTTGCCAAACGGACTGATGGAAACTGTGTTCTAACGCCATTATGCACACCACGAACTATTGGATCATTTTCCAGTTCAAATAATCTCCTGTATAGTTAAAATATAGTGAATTACAAACTTGTATTGATTTTTTTTTGAAACATTAATACTTACTGCATATCAATTTCTCTCCTAGAATAAAAACCTGAATTTGGTGAAAGAATTAGTCTTGAATCAGTGACATCAATGTTTATGCCTACTTTGTAAGTGATATCTTCAAAAATAAATTCAACTTTTTCAGTAGATTTTCCTAAATACCTTGAAAAAGAAATTATCTGTTAGTTCCATGAGAACATGTAACAACATTTGTTTACTATTATTTTTGGTTAATCGGTGGTGTAGCCAGGAATTTTGTATGTGGGGAGGGGAGGCAAGTATACAAATACAATATGTCTTTTATTTACACTTTTTATTTTTTTTACTAATCTTGATAAAATTCTAAGGTCAACACAGACAATGGGAGGGGGATATAGCCCCCTAACTACGCCACTGTGGTTAATGGTTGTTACAATAGAAACATGCACAAGGATAATAACATACTTTCCTTTAAGAGTAATGTCAAAAATATATTCTGACTGCACTCCAATTGTTATAGGCAATTTATTTTTATTAACAATTGACAATTGTACTTTATTTCCTTGCATAGTTTGATAATCATTTAATATTTTCTCCACAACATAGCTGTTATTTCTAAATAATATCTAAAATGTAAAGTGAAATATAAATTTTAATATCTATCTTGAGTCAACATAAATATTTATTTTTTCTTCATTATAAGTAAAATAATAAGATTTTTAATTTAATAATAACCAGGTTCATAAAAGAGAAATTAAATATTAATACCTGTATGATTGATTCCTGTTCAAAACCAATTACTTTAGGCATGTCACCCAATACTTCAACAGTCATTTGATCTTCGTTATCATCATTTTCGTTAAAATCATCAACTTGGTGTGTTGGACCATTGTCATCGAGGAGTATACGGACAGATTCATTTGCTCTGATCCTAAGGTTATTATATTAATGCATGATTAGACAAGATAAGTCGTATGTAATTGAACTATCCAAACATTTCAAACAAGCAGTTACAGAACATACACATTGGACTGATGACGAGGGCTGTCTCTGGATAGGAAACAACTTGCAACCCTCCATTCCGCATTGCCAGAGTTCTTTTCCCTGTAGAGAGATACTCTGACAGGACTGTTGAGTTCTATATATGGGAAGTTCCGAATTTCCTTCTCGGTTTTTGGCTGATAATGGTATTTGTTGTCAATGATACATTTGTCAGTGTCCAATATCTTCGTCACTACACCGTTCAAATATCTGATATCCAACGACGGGTTCAAAATGCAAGATATCTAAACATAACATGTTGTAAGGAGTGAACATTACATGGGTAATATACCAATGAGTATTTTGTGAGGTGATGGATCTCACCCAAAAGTCATTATCCGCCGTCACATCTCTTTCCAAAAAAATATTATTGGGCAGCTGGGGCACTTCGGGTTTCCCGGTCACCCAACTCCAGATGCCGTTCAACACGGACGTCATGATCCCACGAGAAGCAGGAGCGTGGTATGGCAATTTAAAACGCCGTTTTGGGCAACCAGTGGCTATGCAATTCTTTGTGTCAGCAACACACTGAAAAAGTGAATACAATATTTGCAGACTAGGACAGTAGAAGGTTGTCGTGCAGAGTGTACGACGATGAATAACGTCCGAGCGTCCGACAGTCACACACTCACGCAGTACAAGAGACTTACAAAGTACGGTTTTCGGGTTTTAATATTGATAGTGAAATAATCTACCTATTATTTACGCGACGATCCGCAGATACTGGGAAAAAACCACTAAGCACATATTATTATATTTATATCGTCAACGGCACTGGAATAAAATGCAGTAATTATTGATGTTTACGTCATTGACTGGTGACATAATTAATAATCCCGCGTCCCTACAATATTTAATTCAATGTCCCTAATAGAAAACCGAAACTAATAAAAAATACCGAAATAAATAAATACCGAAATAATAAACTATAATGACACCCGACGATTAAAGATAGTGAGCCATGTGCGCTTTGCCGCCATGTGCGATGCCGCATTCTGCAATGAGCGCAATAATTGTTCTATTATCTATGGCTCATTGATAAGACTACACATATTTTTTTTGTAAGGGGCAACGTATAAATTATATAGGCAACCAACCATAGACATAATATAGATGGACTGCGCGTTCAGCCCTTATCATGTCAGCAATAATAAACTTATGTAGAAGGTAAATAATCATGGAAAAATGTTTATCTAACAGCTTTCCTCCATGATACGGAAATACGGAATCAATAGTCTTATCAGTTATCACTCTTATTTAAACCAAAATATACCTTGGAATAAAAACAGTAAAAATGTTTTATCCATGCTATTTTACCTTCTCATGTCTTGTTATTATGGCTGAATTTATTGATGGCGAGGGGGGAGGAACGCGCAGTCCATCTATATTATGTCTATGCAACCAACCAACAATAAACACAAGGCGCCGTCGCGCGTTTATATTTATTCTTATGCAAATTTTGCAATGCAGTATGCACAAAAATACAAGGCGATGCAAATGCTCGAACTAGGACGAAAACAGGGTACGTGTAGAACATACCTCTTATTTCTATGAGCGCAATAACCAAATACCAGGAAGACTAGAACACGGATTAATATATTATTATTAATCACAGATGTCTGTACAAACTAGATAAGGTACTCCTATATAAATGATATAATTTACATTGTTATCAAGTGAAGCTCAGCTGTGGACGGCCGCCATTTTCTCGGGGGCAAAACATTTCATTTATTATACAAAAAATGACTTTTATAAAATATATATATTTTTTTTAAACAACATATTATTTAGAAATAATAAAATACAATACAAAATAAATGATAATTAATCTTATTTACCATATAAAATACCATACAATTGCCCCCCGACCTTTATGTTTCAATTCATGGTGGGAGTTCGATATCTAGTACTATATAGATATCTGTGTTATTAATATATAATATTATGTGTCCGTGGACTAGAATAAGGAGACCACGGTTGTAGTAATATGACTTGTTCTGTGCTCTATGGAAGTATGGAACTATGGAAGGGTACTCCGCTTGTGATAACGTCCCGAAATGAGTTGCACTAGCCAAGCCACTAGAGCAGTGGCGTATCCAGGGCTTAACTTTGGAGGGGGCAAAAGTACAAAAAGTTCCAAAATGGACTAAACACAGTGTAAAACAAAGGACAACTAAGGTGATTGGGGGGAGAGCAAATGCCTCCTTTGCCCTCCCCCTGGATCCACCACTGCAATAGAGAACCGATTGGAAATATATTAAAAAATTTCGGTAAATAAAAAAAAAATACGGCCTCAGTTGTGAAATTGTATTTGTATTTTATATATTATAGTAATAGTAATATGATATTAAAAATTTAAATATTTTTAAATTCAGCGGCCAGTGAGTATAGGTAATATAATTATGTACAATTTAATAATTCTATGGATTTACATTAATTAATATTTTTTTATAATTTCATTTTAGCTGAAATTGAAGTAGCTCGATTAAAAGCTAGAAGAAAACTAAATTTTCGTGATTTTTCCATATTTTGTCAATTTTTGAACTTTAAATGCTTATAAAAAAAAATTGTGACTAAGGATTTTTAATATTTTTCATCTGCCTTTGAAACAACATATTAGGAGCCTTCTATTAAATTTTCAAGCTTTCGCAACCAACAAATAAAATTGTATTGATATTTTTAGAAAAAAAACTAAAAAAAAATGGAAAATGAAAATGTCCCTAAATAGTTCAAAATAAATCAAAATATTTTGAAAATGTTATCGTGTATAGAAAATGCAAATATTAACAACCAGTGAAAATTTCATGTATATACGTTCATTTGTTTTAGAGTTACACCAATAACCAAAATCGATTTTTTGGAAAACCAATTTTGCGTAAAAATTCCCGTTTTTCCTTAATTTTTATGTTATTTTTCCCGGCGCTTGTGAAAACTACTGTGAAATTTATACTTTTCACCCCCCAAAGTACCAACTAGATTCACTTTCCTACCAGAAAAGCTACTGATGAAGAAAATCCAAGCATTTTTACTGTCCTAAAACGTGATGACAGACACAAAAATATAAATAAAAATATAAAAAAAAACATACATCATTGTAAAACCAATACATTCATCGCTCCGCTCAGAATCTAAAATGTACAAAATGTATTTTATAGATTTTTGTATAAATGATTTAATTTTACATGTCAATTCAAGATGGTTTTAATTGTATTTTAGTAGGTACAGTAAAACTTCCTTAAAACGGACACCCCATAAGACGGAAATCTCCCTAAAGGAAAATAACAACGTCCTTGAATAACTTGTTGCGTATATTTTAGTCTCCCTATAACGGAAAAATTTGTCAGCCCAAGCGATTCCTTTATAGAGAGGTTTTACTGTACCTACTTTGAATGTATAAATGTATATTATATATAGGTACATTCAAAGTTTTAAAAAATACAAATATATCAGAAATTTTTAATTACATTTTAATGTATTTATTTTTTCCAGACTTTCAAAAATTGGTTAGCAGACAACATATTGTTCTCAAACATGAAGTAAAAGATATACAAGATCGTCTTGATATTATTATGTGTATGCAAGAAAGAATTAATGAAAGATTACAAGGATGTGTATCTGCCGATATTACCGAAGATTCATTTGATAACACTATAACTCGTGTGGATACTGCGACTGATTTAAATGATCTTGAGGACAAATTATTAAACGATACAAAATATAAAAAAAAATTGGTATTAATAGCAAATTACATTACTTTCAAATTATATAAGATTATAATTACTGAATTTTATTTTGTATGTAGATTAAAGAACTAGCTCGTTACAGAGGACAGAATTTGTCTGAAACTATAAGAAAAATTATGCAAACATTATTCACTGATAATTTTCTAACTAACTACTCCTACATAGGATTCAAAGGAAAAGAAAATTTTTCTACACTCCAAACTTGCTCCGTGATATTTGGTAAATATTTTTAATGCAATTTTAATCAATTTAATACTCCATACATAATAACTATCTACATAGTTATTATTAGTAATTTATAAAAGTTAACCAATTTTTTATTTATACAATTTTGGTAATGAACTTTTCCGCTCATGTCTTAATAGGTATACAGACTTTTCACTCACTTGCCTTTCTCACTATTTTTATTGTAGCTCACTATTTAAGCAAATTACTTAATACTCATTATTATCACTTTTTAGATTTTTTCAGTGCAATGATTAAAATCATTGAAATTTATATAAAACTTCATAACACAAGTTTTAAGTAGAAAAAAAAAGGCTCGAATCTTTGATTTTGATGGAGGTTTTTGCTAACAAATTAGAAGTTTTTACTTTGGGGAATCAATAGTAAAAATGTCCAATTACTTATTAAAATGATTAGCAAACCGATTCATATTAAATGTTATAACTTATAAACATCATTATATAAATACTATTATCACCAGTATTGTAAAAATAACTTAAAAACTATATTTTGTCAAATTTTAAAATTTTTAGTTGTCAATTAGGTACAAAATTATTAATAATACATATATTTTTTATAAAACTTTTGCTTTTTATAAATATTAGTTAAGCTTTGAGGGTATTGACAACTAAATTCAAATTATTTGCAAAGTTGAGATAAAATGAATATTTAGTATAATATAGAAGGTAAATATATATACATATAGGTTGTTTAAACAATAATAAATTGTTTTTATACCTTATTATTTCTTAACTAACAATATTTAATATTTATAATTATTAACTATAATTACAAGTATATTTAAATTTAAAACAATTACCAAAATGATCACATTTCAGAAATTAAAGTTTTATTATTTAACATTAATTAAAATTATTATGTATCAATTCCAATCATATAAATGTTTCTTCAAGATTAGTACCTATCACTCATATTATCAGCAGCATATAATATATTATTATAAAGATTTTAGTAGTTGTGGTTAAATTTAACAAAAATACAAAATATGTTTAGTAAATATATAATATATGTTATGTAAAGTATATAATATGTTTGAAAGTAGAAAAAATGTATTCAATATACATTAATATATAGATACCTAGTATTTAAACGTCTCAAATACTTATTGATAGATAGTATAGGTATTTAAGCCTGTAAATGGATTAATAGATATATGGTCAATAAAAAATAATAAATGATTTGTTTTTTGTTTGTTTAGAAACTATTCGCCAAATGAAACCCTTTTCTTCACAAAATCTCCCTAACATTGAAATAGAAAAACCATTAAAAAATTGGTTGGCACAAGCTTCTAATAGAATCAAAAAATTATCAGCTAAAAATCCTCAACAAGATTCACAATAAAATTTATCCATGGTTTATTTAACTAAGTATTATTTTATGTTATTATTACTAAATGATTATCAATATATAATATGTCGTGTAAATTATGTTATTATTCTATTATATTCT